CCACTCAAACCAGTTGCAGCTCACTGCAGCTTGCCCAGTTTAGCCCACGCTGAAGTCCTGCAGCAGAGCCCTGGGCATCAGCCTGTGATGAGAACATCCTTGTTGTATTTACTCCACCCTCTCTCACCAAGATCTCTGGATTTATTTTGAAGTTTGGAAGTAACACAGTTTAAGCATCATGATCCCACAAGAGGGATGGGGCAGCAGCTGAAGCCATGATGAAAAACCGAAATACGAATGGCAGTGGCAAAGGGCTGAGGCACTCCGGTGATGTCAGTCCGACATGGGCTTTACTGTGTCATTCTCCCACGTGTGTCCCATGGCCATAACAGCGCCTGCACCACAGGGAATGCACAGCAACGAGAACGCTTGTGTGGTGTGGATGTGATTCCCTGGGGAAGCTGGGGAGCCCTTGTCTCCATTACCAACCCCTGCACCTCCACCCTCAACTCATCCCCTCGCGCTGTTGCCCCAAGTCTTTTCTCAGCCCAGTGCCTATCTCCATCCTAATTTCTATTCCCATGTTTACCCTCATTCTCATTCTCATTCTCATTCTCATTCTCATTCTCATTCTCATTCTCATTCTCATTCTCATTCTCATTCCCAGGCCCCGCCCCGGCCCCGCCCCCGGCCGTGACTCAGCCGCCCCCCGGGCTCCCATTGGCCGCTGGCCGCGCACGCGCAGCAGGCGGCGGAGCGGCGGGGGCGCGCCATTGGCTCTGGCGGCCGTGACGTCACGGGGCGGCGGCGCGGCGGGAGCGTGAGTCAGCACGTGCTGCGCTGAGTCAGCGCCGGGGGCCGATAAAGGCGCGGCCGGGCCGGGCTCGGGGCTGTGCCGGGCTCGGGGCTGTGCCGTGCCGTGCCGTGCCGGGCTCGGGGCTGTGCCCGCGGCCGGGCCCGCTGTGCCATGGAGCTCCCGTGGCTGGGCGAGCACTGCTCCGAGCGCACCTGCAAACAGCTGGGTAAGTGCGGACTCGTCACCGTGTGCTGGGGGGCCGCTCCTGTCCCCCGAGGCTGTCCAGGGCTGCTGGGGGCAGTGGCAGACACCAGTCCCCCCTCGGTAGGTCTAGGGAAGGAATGATAGCTGTTGTTCCTGTACACGTTATATTGTTAAGGGATGGCTTTTCAAGAGTAAGATTATTTTTGAAACTGAGCTTTGCGCTGGCACTTCAGCTCTTAGCTCTGGACTAGTTGCTCGCTACGGTTTCTGCATTTGAGGAGCTCCTGAGGTGCTTTTGGCTTGCGTTTGTCTTACACTGCAGGTAAAAAGAGGTAAACTTACCACACTTTCTCTTTCAGTTTTAATATTTGTGAAGAGTGATCTAATTCTGTAGAGATAATTGGGTTGTGACTCGACGAAAACTGCTTTAGAATTTATTTGTAGTCTTTTGTGAGTACCCTTAGAGTTGTTAGCTTGGTTCCATAAAAATGTTCTTTTTATTCTTCTCCCAGATTTCCTTCCTCTGAAATGCAACGCTTGTGGGGAAGTCTTCTGTAAAGATCACATCCGCTATGATGACCACAAGTGCAGCTCTGCCTACAAGAAAGTGAGTTCTGTGTGATGTGAGTCATAATTCACCCTGCAGAATTGCTAAGTCATTTATAAGGGCTGCTATGAAACGTCACCTGTGGTTTCAATAAAAGTTGATGGCAGAACCTCAAAATGCAACTTAATGATACATCTGGATTTCAAATACATAAAACATGATATTTCAGAGGGCAGAACTGCTAGATTCTAGTTTTTTCACTTACAGTGCATCTTCCCAGAAAGGAGTGTTTTATATTTCAAATAATGTCTTGTGGTCTAAAATTTCCTGCAGTCCAAATCCTGTAAGTTGAAGAACAGCAAACATGAAACTACAGAAGAAATAAATAGAACAAGTGGGTCCAAACTTTGATCTCTGGCTTGTACTTGGGCTTTGAAGTATTCAAAGGCTGTAATTCCAGAAAAGTCAAAAAGATATTTAAAGTCAACTTACCAAACATGTTGCTACAAATTGGTTTGGCAAAGCATATCTGTGTGGTTTTTGGAGGGTGATTTGCAATTACTGTTGTGAAGTGCATCTTTAAAAGCATTAGCAAATGGGAACATGAAACATTTAGGAATATACTTCTTTTATCTATGGTTAAGAGAAGGGGAAGGACACAAAAATAGGGTTGGACTTGTAATGGTTGTACTTGATTATCTTGAAGGTCTATTTCAATCTAAACAATTCTTTAATTCTGTGATGCTGATCTGTGTTGTGTGTTCTTAGAATGTGCAGGTCCCAGTGTGTCCCCTCTGTAACACACCTATCCCAGTACAGAAGGGAGAAATCCCAGATATTGTGGTTGGAGCCCACATAGATAAGGACTGCAAATACAATCCAGCACAGCAAAAGCAGAAGGTAAGAAAACTGCTGTTGAAGTCTAAGATACCTTCCTAATGCTGCTAAAGTTGGGCATTCTGACAGCAGAATGTGTAGAAACTTGCTCTGTTTCATCTTGGCTCTAAGGCTGCTTGAACATTTGTGCTTCAGCTTGGTCATGGCTCACAGAGAGCAAACACTGTCAACTTCCTGTCCTCTCTTACTCAGATCTTCACAAACAAATGCTTAAAGCCAGGCTGCAAGAGGAAGGAGATGATGAAGATGGTTTGTGAACAGTGTGGTGGCAGCTTCTGCATAAAACATCGGCATCCTCTGGATCACGACTGCAAAGGGAGCAGCAAGCCCATCTCCAAGGCAGGGTGAGCTGGACTTGTGGTGCTTCAGCTCAAGATGACATCTCAGAGCTGGTATCAAGGGCTGGTGGGGAGCTTGGATAGGCAGGGAATTCTGGAAACTACTGGTCATATCAATAAAATAGCTGTGATTTTTCTCTTGCATGTCAGGCTGAATTTCTGAAATGTCAGCTTTAACTTCTGAGCCAAGAGAAAAAGCTCGTCAAATGCTTTCCTGAATTTTCAAGCTTACCTGTGTCAGTCTCTCCTAACTGAGAATAGGTACTGGCAACTCAAGCACCCTTTGGGGTCTGGGTCCACATACTGGAATCCTAAAGCTCTGTCCAGCACCTTGAAGTGAAAAAGAATAATCAATACCCTGACAGGCCAAGTTTGAACTTAATAATAAAAAAATCTGTCTCTTGCAGGAAGACATACCTTGAGTGTTCTGTGCAGTAGGACTGTGAGATTTGTGTGATTGATACTGATGATTAAACTGGATGGAAGAGTGAAAATTCAGAGTGCATAGGTGCTGAGCCTGGTTGTGTTTGTTTGTAGATATGCAGCTCTGATGAGAGCATCTCTTCCCACCTTCAAGTCCCCGGGAGCAATTGGAGTGCCATCTAATGGGAATCCTCAGCACAACAGGTATCAGCTACACAAGGAGAAAAGACAAACTCAAACCAGGCTGGTGTCCACACGGTGTAGCAGTGCCCCTGTCACACCTCTGACTGCTCTAGAGTTGGTAGCTGACCTGTAAGTGGTGTTGGGAGTGCAGTAGAGGAGGGGCTCTGACAGCACAGGTAAATCCCTGCTTCTCTATAATGCAGTGATTAAAGTGGTCTCATAGACACAAGCATTAGGACATCAAATTGTATCTGCAGGTTGGTCTCCCCTCTGTTCAGTGAGAGGTTTGGCCAAGTTCTGGAAAAATGGTGTGTCATCAGAGTGAGGAAAGCACAGCAAGCACCTGAATTAAAATAAATGGCCCAAGCCCTTCCCTGGCATGTTGTAGCTCCATGTGCCTGAAAGTTCCAGTTGTGTAACCCTTACAGTGCATTCTTCTGTCTTTCAGGTGCAGATAGTAGAGGCTCTTCACATCTGGATCAAACTTTTAAAGTTAATATTCTCTCTCTCTTTAAATTTCTACACAATTAACTTATTTTTGTATCATAATTTTGTATGCATTCAATAAACTGATACTGTTTCCAAGCCAATGTTTTTTGTTCCTTTATTTGGAATAAGAACTTTAATATTATAAAAAAATATTTGATGTAGGAAGTGGCATGATGGTGGTAGGTAGAAGATTAGTTGGTATGAAATACAGCTAGATTTGCTTAGGTCATGCCAAGCCTGAGCTAGGAATCTCCCAAAATGAAAATCTGAAATACAAGCTACTGTTATATGTTTCAATCCTTTTGGAAGTGTTCTGAATCTGCATGAAAAACAACATCAGTCTGAAGCTTCCTCTTGGTTCCTGTATGTCACTGGAAGGCCTTTATAAATAAAGCCATACCATCTTTTTTGCAGGTCCTTTCTGAAGGCTAGTGCTCACAGAGGCATGTGCAGTACAATTCTTCATCACTTATTGTCCCTCTGGCAGAAATCTAGATTTGCAGGGATATATTTTGCAGTTTCAGGGAGAAAAGGAAGCTGGAGAAAGTAGCATTAAGCATGGCTTGTGTAATGAGAGTAAGGCTAAAATACGGTGTTTAGGGAGGCTGCTCTTGCTGTCTTCCTGGAAAGTTTATACAAGTGAAGTCCTAGCAGATAGTGCTCTATCATCCTCATCAGCTCTCTTGGCTCTTTAAAACTTCATGAGTATCCAGCTGCTTAGCTTGAGGCCTGAAATATTATAGGCTGATGAAATGGAAATGCACTGTTAATGAACAATGCTAATTCCCCAGATGGGATCTAAGTAGACCTCTCATCCAGCTAATTGTGAGAAAAATGCCAAAGCTTTCTGATGGTGTCAGGGGGTCAAGACCTCAATTTCATGTGTCATTGGAGCCATTCCTCTGCATTGCTGGGGCTCCTGGGCTGCAGTACTGGCTTAGGAATAACTGGAGGCTAATTGCAGCCCATTCCAATCCCCTGCAATGCTGCTGAGGTGGGAGGAGAAGCACTTTGCAGAGCAGAGGCTGCCGCGTTCCCTGAGCTGGGAAAAATCATCTCTGTGATGCTGTAAGAGATGGGAGCATAAGTGCAGTTAGTGCATGTGCTTTGTGCAGCCCTGGGGGTGCTGCAGGTGTGCAAGGACTGTTGTGTCTCTTTGAACAGTTTAATCATTGGAGTAGGAATGCTGGCTGAGGAGGAAATGTGGATCAACATCAACACCTTGATTGCTTCAAGGTGCTTCACAGGTCTTCCCTAAGAAAGGACACATGTAATTTCTATCCAGCATGGAACAAGTATCTGTGCTATCCCATATTAATATTTGGCCCAGTGTGATTTCTCATGCTGGAGAGGTTTTTGGTGAAGATCACAGCTAGCTGGCCAAACTGAACATGTAATACAGATATGAGTTACACTGATCACATAATCTAATTTTTTGCAATCATGCAGCCAAAACTGTGATTTGACATCTGTATCTGTAGTACTGTGTTTAACCACAGGATGTCACAATAGGATATGCAATACCACAATCTTAGCAAGTCTAAACATAGAAAACGTTCTTTGCCTATCCACATTGGATAAAAAGCTTAAATTAGAACTTGAGTTTTAGGTACCACCACCCTCTGATTATCCTGTGTTCCAACACCCTAACTCAGCCCTAGCACATTGCTATATTTTATATACATTTTCTATTTTTTGTGTGTAATTTCTAACTGGACATTCCCAAATGGTGCCGTGCACCCCACCGGTGCTTTGGGAAGGGGATTCCAGGTTCTGACCATGGTATGAGGACAGGGACCAGGGGAGAGAGGCTCTTCCAGCCCAGCAGTGATAGCTGGGGGACAGGAGGGCACCTCGGTGTGGGGACGAGGTGGAAAAGGAGGAAAGAAGAGGTTGCCCCTTCCCATCAGTGCCTGAAATGGTGAAGGGACTTGCTTGCCAGCAGAATCTGCTCCCACATCCAGCATCTTAGCTGGGAAACAACAACTCTGTCTCAGGTTGTCCTGAAAAAAACGTGTCATCCACACGTGTGTATGTGGTAAAAATTCCGGCCCTTAAATTACCAAGGGGCCTTGGAAAAGTTTGTGTAAGGGTTATTTATAGAAAATGAAAACACTGAAGCCAATTTTGTTTCCTGGAAATTGTCCTCGGAGGTGTTTTCTCGTCCTGTCAAACCACACCCTTGGCCTCTTCCCACGCATTCCATGAGACCCCATCGGGACACGAGTAATGCTGTCTCAGACTTCAGCGTCTCTTAAGATCTGGAGCCCTTAGGATCTGCGGGCTCAAAGGTATCAAATCGGTCTCCAGAGAGCCTCGGCTCAGGGTGTCGGCAGCGCTCACGGCCCTCACTACAGCCTGCTGTGACCGACAGCACCGGCCTAGCCTGCAGTGCGGCCCGGAGCCGCCAGGCCCCGGGGACCCCGTCAGGCCCTGGGGGGCTCCCAGGCAGGTGCGGGTGGATCCCCGTGAGCGCACGGGCGGATCCCGGCCAGGCCCTGGGGGGCTCCCAGGCAGGTGCGGGTGGATCCCCGTGAGGGCACGGGCGGATCCCGGCCAGGCCCTGGGGGCTCCCAGGCAGGTGCGGGTGGATCCCCGTGAGGGCACGGGCGGATCCCGGCCAGGCCCTGGGGGCTCCCAGGCAGGTGCGGGTGGATCCCCGTGAGGGCACGGGCGGATCCCGGCCAGGCCCTGGGGGCTCCCAGGCAGGTGCGGGTGGATCCCCGTGAGGGCACGGGCGGATCCCGGCCAGGCCCTGGGGGGCTCCCAGGCAGGTGCGGGTGGATCCCCGTGAGGGCACGGGCGGATCCCGGCCAGGCCCTGTCACGATCCCGGTTTTGGGAATCTCCCAGGCAAAAGGGCGGGGCCGCAGGCGGAGCTCGGCGCGGAAAGATGACGTCATCACCGCCGCCAGAAGCCGGCGGAACGCCCGCAGCACACGTGTTCCCGGTGAGCGCTTTAACTCCGAGCGGGGCTTCCTATTGGCCACCGTGATGATTGACATGTCGTCAACCAACCAGAGGGCGCCATTCAGTACGAGTAGCCAATGAAAGGCTGGGGGCGGGCGGCGGCGCCAAGCGTGGGGCTCAGTTGAATGTGCCGGGGCGGCTGCTGCGGGAGGTGCGTGCGGGACGGGCGGGGGTCGCGGCCCGGAGTCCCCCCGGGGTGACGGAGACTCCTCCGGGGGTCCCTCCGTCCGCCAGGAACGGCGGGAGGGGCGGGGAGGCCCGGCCCGGCCCGGCTTGGCTTGGCCTGGCCGCGCCACATGCGCGCGGTGGTGGCTGAGGCGGCTGCGAGCCCGGGGGCGTGTGTTGGGATGTGAAGCGGGGGTTTGTGTTGGGAAGCGTATCCAGGTTGGGAAGCGGAGCCGGGGTCCTGTGCAGGGGAGCCGGGAGCAGGGGCTGGCCGGGAGTGCCCTCCTGGCCAGGGCACGGCTGTGCCCGACACGTGCCGGGCCTGGCTGCGGGATCACCGAGGTGCCAGAGCCCTCCTTCGGCAGCTTCTGCTCCATTGGGAACCCCCCACGTGCCATTGTGGGTTGGTTTATGTTTTGTGTGAGTTTCAAGCTAAATGTTTGTGATTGAGCCAACATTTGCCTCTGTAGCGACTGACTGAAAGTGACAGTGAAAGCGACACTGAAAGTGACAGTGTTGGAGCAAGGGGGGAAAGCCGCTTAAATTGGATATTCTCGCAAAGAAATAATACTCACTTACAGCCAGACCTGTGTTCAGAACCAGTTACAGTGTTGTCTGCAGCTCCTGTTCACTTTCACCCTTATGTCAGTCTAAAATTACAGCTCATGAGACAATTCTTCAAGCATAGTTGTACCACGTTAACCTGTGTGAAAACAGAAGAACTTGCAGTTTAACCACAACTAGTGGTTTAAAACTGTTTAGTTATCAAGAAGCTTTACTTTTTGCTTGTGAGTGCACACGTGCATATTGATGAGATGACAAACAGTCATGTGAATGTATTTTGAGGTGATGGTGTTATCTGAGGTAGTTGATCAAACAGTTCAGTGTGGTGTGTTCTAACCTGCAGAAAGCACAGCCTAAATTATGGGGAATTCATACCAGGAATTCTCTGAGGCATATTCCACAACAGGGCCACAGATGACAGAAAGTGTGTAGATTCCGACAGGAGACTGGTTTTTCAGTTTCACACTACCTTAACCACAATGTATTCTTAAAGGAAACACGAAAATTCTCCAAAATTAATCAAATTTCAGTGCAGATGTACGTTTCATAGTTAGGTAGTGACAAAAAATTTCCATACCAGTGTAACTGTAGTATAACTGTCTGTCTATGAGACTGACATTTAACATTAAAAAAGGTTCCAGCTGAAGTTTGGTGCTTTCTGTTACAGATCAGCATTTTAGAATGCCGAAAATGATTGTGGAAAAAAAAGAGAAGAAGGCAGAAAAAAGAAAAAAGCTGAAGCAACATGTGGCCCAAAAGGACCAGCTGGAATTGGAAACTAAACCAGCGAAGAAGAAGAAGCTGCAGGTTTGGTTCTTTAATTTGATACAAAATTAATTTGTTGTTGCTGTAGATTCTGTTGTGAATATGAGTTGGATTCAGTTGTAATGATTCCTTGGATGCAATGTACCTAGAGTGAAAGCTAAAATTAAGCCAAATCTGGGTCCAATTGTAGCAGGCAGAGAGGTGATCTCTGTTTGTTTTGGATATTTCTGTGAAAAGCAGAGAATGGATGTGGGTGAAAGGTGAACCAAGTGAGGATCCATCATATGGCAATCTCAGCGGAGCTTCAGTCTTCATGTGATCCTGAGTGCCTGGGAAAACATGAAAGATGTTTTCTTGGAAATTCTCCTCGTTTTTGGACAGAATGTCAAGTGGCCAGAAGGTGTCAGCAGTCTCTTGGAATTCCTGAACATTTTATGAATTATTTTGTGAGAATAAAGTTAGCAATCTCAATATGTTAAGTGGGAACTTGGAGTTAGAAGGTTTTTGGGATGGAAATTATGCATAATTCAAGGACAGTTAAATTCTGCTCTTCTTACTGGTTACTGTGGAATGAGGATCAAAGAACTGTAAAGCAATTCAAGAAGTAGAGAGGGAAAGCAGTTTTTTTCCTCAGGAATTCTTGAGAATCACCTCAAGAAGCCACTTAATTTTCTTATCTAATTTTCTTTCCTAGCCTAACATAAAATATATGTGAGGGCTGCATGTTTCTTTCTTTATTATGGCATATGTAGCTCCATGGAGCTGATGTAACTAAAAATTAATACTTTTGTTATTAGACTTTATTTAAGCTCATTGGCAAGAACATATTTGAAGAACTTCTGCATTCATAAGTGTTTCTAGGTATTGCATTTGAGAAGCTTAATATAAAAATGCCAGCCTATTGGTAGAAGCTATTCAGAGGTCTGTACATTTTTGCAGTTTTGATCTCAGCAGAAATGTTCCTAATAAGAAAAGACTGCATCTTTGTCAAAGCAAAAATAGGAAATTTTGTCCTTGTAGCTTCATAAGGAGGAATGTTTCTCTTTTCCTTTGTATTAAAGACTGTGGATTTGCTGTGCTGTAATTGAATTTGAGTGAAAATAACTTTCCAGGACAAAACAGTGTGAAATTGAAATGCCAAAATGAAAATTTTATTGCCTATGACAATCTATAATTTCATGTAAAACTGCCAAACAGTTGAGGTTGGGCTCCAATTTCCTGGCAAGTGGGGCTTTTCTGGAGCATCTGATATCCAGTGTTCCGTTCTTGGAACACCCAAGTGAGTTTTTTTCGCTGTGCAGACTGTAGGACTGTGAAAGAAAGAGCGAAGAGTAATGGAAAGAAGAATCCTTAATACTGTTAGGGAACACCACTAAGCACAGCAGTTCTTGGAATCATAAAAGTTGATGCCAGAGGGTGGCTTGAGTTTTAGGGAATGCCATAAAAGGTCTATGACAAGCCATTTCTTGGCATCAGCTTTATAAACTGTAGCTGTTGACAGCAGGAAGGCCTAAGTTAATAGACCACTTTTGTTGGGTTTTTTTGTTTGAAATGACTGTTGAGAATGAAAAACGTGAGGCAGATTTTAAACAATTTTACTTAAGAAGTGGTTAAAGAAAGTTAATTGCTTGGCAGTTTGATTGTTACTCAGTGTAAGTACTCCCAGCTTTGTGTGAAATGCTTGGCTAGGGCACACTGGCATTTATGCTTTAAAGTGATTTTGGTCATCAAACCTTGTCAGCATGGAAAGTGTAATAGAGAGCAAAGTAAAACTGCTCTGTGTGAACTGAAGGATCAGGAGGAGCTCTGGGGTTGTGCTCAGTCAGTGTGAAAGGTTCCAAGTAAGAAATTTGGGACAAAAGTTAGTTAACTGCTAGAAAGGTTTATTCTGCACCTTTACTTTCTTTAATTTGATTTCTCTTACTTTAAAATAAGCTGGAATTTTGCTAGATCTACAGGAATCCCCAAATCATGGTGCCTGCATTCTCATGAGCTGTGATTCACTTTTAATGGAGTAACTGAATTAAAGGAAACTCTTCCTGGCATTCTTAAAGTAAGGATGGGTAGGCTCCAGTTTTACCTAAAGAGTCTCATGTGTGGTAGAAGGAGGTCAAAGTTTTTGGTGGGACAGAGATTTCACTGGTTCATTAAGCCATGTTCCTGTGATTTTTTTTTTTCTTTCCCCCCCCCCCATTCTAGTACAGCAAATTTAATCTCTAAAGTGGAAAATATGAATGTCTAACTGATTTTGTTATAGAGCTGGAGGCAAGTTGAGATGTGCTTTCAGTGACTGGACTTAGTGTACACTGATCATTCCTTCAGGAAATTTATTTCAAAAAATCTTACCAGCCTTAGACTAAGGCATTTTTCCTTGGAACAGCTTGACCTTTCAGAGTAATCTTGATGTTTTATTGATTTTCATCTACTCAATTTCTTCTGTTTACACTAAATAGCAATACGCAATTCAAGACCAATATTAATGTTTTTGTGAGTGATCTTTGAACCACACAACTCTAAATGAGACATCTCTAACAAAGCTGATTTTTAAAGTTTAATTAAGTTTTAAAATTTAATTCAGCCTTGTGGTTTTTCTGACTGATTCTCCTAATGTTACTGTTCTATTTACCTCCTTGAAATAATCATACATGTTAAACTGTTTTTTTAAATCACTAGACATTAGTTTTACATTCTTTTATAGTTTGCTAACATGCTTGTATGTTGAACTATCAGAATGTTTAAGTTTTTCCTTTCAAGCTGTAACATTGGTATGAAGAAAAGAGATTTAAAACGTGCCATCTAAACTGGTGGTTTGAAGCTGACTGTTGGCTTCCTAGGTAACAACTGCCTGATGGATCTTTTCTGACAAGTTAGTTTTATTTTATTTCTCTGAAGAAAAAGAATATTTGCAGTATTGTTAATGTGTCATCTCGAAATAACAGAACTCTAAGAAGTTTTTCTTTGCAATTACCCCTATTTTGCTTCTGATTATGGATTTCTCCAGGCTTCAGACTTTCAGCTGCCTCAATTCCACAAAGCTTACTGGAACAGCAGTCCTGACAGTTGCAGCTCTGTAGGTATGGAACAACATGTGGTTGCTTTGTTTCCCAGGGCTATTTGAGTTCTGCCCAGAATGACCTTACTGTGTCAAAGGATCTTGTCATTTACGGGCAGATCTCGTTGCTGCAGTGCTGTTTGCAGAGCTGCTGGCTTTCTGCAGAACAGTAGGAAATTCTTTCAGAACAGAACATCTATTAGGCAAGACTCAAAATTCATAATCCATAGAAAACAATATTAACTTCCTGTTCCTTCCCAATTTAGTCTAGTAAACATTGTAACTTCAAGGAAAATTACAATGACTAAGGGACGATCGATCTTTATAAATCAAATCCCCCTGTTCATGGTTGAAGGGTACTTTAGGTAATGCTCATACAGCCAGTGGGTGTTTCCTTGTACTCCCTTGTTATCTTCGGCATTGTAAGTGCTTAGAGGAGGAGGAATCAACATTTTCCTCAGATAAAGGCAGGATCAGTGGGGGAAAGGAATTTAATTTCTGAGATTCCATACAGATACTACAAACAATGGCAAATAAACAAGTAGCTCATGGTGTTTCTTTCATCAGAGTGTGCAGGTGCCCAAACAGAAAGATTTGTTTACTAAATGGAAAATGGCAAAATTTGTAAAGAAAAGGTTTTTCTGTTCAGCTTTTTGGAGTTTATTAGGGTTATATAAGGTCTATATAAGAATATAGAATTCTTTAGCTGTAAAGCAAACCACAAAAAACCAAAGATTCTTTAAAATCACTGTTTGGTTGTAGCAGTGGAAAACCCCATAAAATTATGTTTAAGCTGTGGAGATAAACATTTTGGGCATGAACTCGGTGGAATAACTGGGCATGCTACTTTGATATGATCTCTAATGCTGCTTGTAATCAGGTAACTGGGCTAGTAATTTGAATGTTTAATGAATGCAAACCAGACATTGGTGCAAACTGATCCAGCAGATACTGTAAAGCTATCATCAGACAGTGTATTTATTTGTTTGACAACCCACTAATTCATCCCAAAGCCTGTTCTTGAAATAATGAGTTGTGGATGATTTGCAAACAAACTCGGTAATCCTTTATTGTTCCCTTAATTTATTTTTCTAATTAATGGGAAGCTTATCTTGTAACCATCAAAATAACTTGGTTTATATTTTCCCATCCTAAAAAGATGCTGTGAAGTTAACAACTTAGTGTGATGTTGCAGGATGTTCTTCTGATTACCAGGCTACCAATATTAACTGTGTTTTATATACATTAAAAGTATATATTGGAAACTGTTTGCATTGCAGTTCCACTGTCCACTCTTCCTGCACTTGTTTGGTTTTGCTGTATGTACTTAATCCTCTGCTGTAAGCATTAGCATTATCTGAGGTTGTTAATTTTTGTTTGAGGAATATGTAAAAAGCTTAATTATTAAAAAAAAAGAAAATAAATTCCAAAAAGTTAATTTTATTTGGCATAACCTCCTAAAATAAGAATTTTGTCTCACACTGGGGGTTTTTTGGACCAGTTTTAAAGTATCTTTAACACGCAAATAGAGTTTTGTCCGTGTTATGAGGAGAAGATGACATAATCTTTCATCTTCCCCCATCCTTCCATGTCCCCCTGTGCCTTGATGGAAAAATACATCAGCAGAAAGCAGTTTCCCAGTGATAAAGTGGGGGTGGGAGCTATTTCTCAAAATGGCCAAGTTAAATGTCAGGATGGATATTACTGTGCTGGGTTTTGTCTGTAATTAAAATGTTGGGCCTGTTTCTCTTAGCTTTGGGTTACCTTTCAGTTGAATGTTTATTCTTGGGTTATTTGTTTGGGGTTTTTTTATTTGATCAAAGAGAGAAGTTTGCCAGCCCATTGGCTCTTAGTGCCTCTCTGTATGGTGGCCTTCTGGTAGTTACAGGAAGCAATTACAAAGCTCTAAATCCATGTGGCAATTACGATTTACTGTGTGATATCTTGCTTGGTTTATGTGCTTTCTTATCTATGCAATATTTCTCAAATT